ATCTGGCTTGCCCTAAGGGCTTCTCAATAGGACAGTGTCCCTGGTAATTAATACAAGTCAGTACTCCATTGGTGCCTTTCAGACATCCTACTGAGCTTGATCTGGTTCTTCCTCCTCATCTTCTAAGAGGCAAATGGCTGGCAGAAGTAGGTGGTCCAAAAGACACAAAACCACCTGTTAGACCTACGCAGTCTAGGGGCCTCTGTCTTGTTTAAGGAGTACACTGTCCTGGTAGATCTGGGCAGTGTCCTGCTCAACCCCTCTCTTCCTATGGGGCTTTTTGATGGATCAAGGAAACAACATAACCAAGCACTTCAAGTGCTCTCTGCACTTGGGGTTCAGCTACACCACAGGTTCAGGGCTGGGTCAGGTCAGGATGATGACATGTTTGATGCTAGACAGTGGCACTCCAGCTCCAACAAGAGACATGTTTGAATAGGTGTGCACAGTGCCATCGCTGTGGCTCACAAAGGACACCTGCACTGACTTCCATGCCAGACAACTGTTCATATAGGTATAGGATTTGGCAAATTTTCCAGCTAAGCACTTACCGGACGGATGGAGCTTGTGACAACACCATAGAACACAGCAGGTCCCTGCAGAGCTAGAGAATAGTCTTACACCACAGAGACTCAGGCACTGGAAGAGAATGGCTCCCTGAGGACTGGGGTCAGAGGGCCTTCCATGTGGAAGAAGCCCTGTGGGTGCTCGTTCAGCCAGGCAAACCACTGAGCAAAGGGCCCAGCATTCCAACTCCCCAGCAGATCTTTCCTGTCCCCAGTCAGAACATGCAGGGCACATGACCAGCACGTGTCCCCTGGGATCCTCCTGGGACATACTGTCCCCAATGTGCTGTCCCCTGCAGCCTGCCTGAGAGCATGTCCGTGCTACACAAACAATATTGCTTTCCCATGGTCCTGATGGGAGATAAAGTCCCCGTGGATGACAGCGGCCAGTTCTGGAAACTTCCACCTCTACACCACAGCCGAGCCCCAGCTAATCTCCAAGTATGGGCTTGCAATAAGCACCCTCAACATTCTTACAGCCTCACCCTGCATCCGCACACTGTGGGTTTGTATACACTCAAGCCATGCCTGACAGGGCGAGAGGCTCCGCGTCTGTCCTCAGAGGTCAGACGTGGCTGGCTTTCTTGTGTTCTCTGTTCCCTAAGTTCCTTCAACCCTGCTTGAGGGTTGCCTGGCTTCCTCATCTGACAGTCTGGCGCAGACTGACTAATCCATAAGAACAAAGCCTCCTAGGGACCAGTGCCAGCCTCCCGCAGATTTGTCTCTGGCTTCTGTCTCTCTCTACCTCCAAGGACTTGTGATGCACCCTCTGCAGGCTGCACACCAAGAGTCACCTGTTAAATCACACAGCAGCAAACCCAAGCTGATGTTTTGAGTGCCCCAAGGGAACTAGACATGAGTGGGTGAGGAGCCCCTACAGTGGGTAGGAATGAGCAGTCAGCTGACAAGCCCGCTGCTCTGTTATCGTCTTGTTCTCTAAAATGCCAAGGTAAAGACATGTCAGTATGCTTTGCCCCTTTTCTAGCCATACAATCTTGTTACATAACCTTCCAAGTGTTGGCGGCCTCACCACTAAGAGGATAATATGAGTCTGTTTCCCAACCTTGGCATAAGGCTGATCTGTGCAAAGGCTTAGCAGAATGCCTGGGGCATAGCAAATCTTCCCTAAATGTTACCTGCTAGAGTCTTGCATGAATTGTGATAAGCTTAATCTCTGTCTCTCCAGCTCATAGCCTAGTGCTATCACAGAGAGGGTGGAAGGAGGGCTGGGGTGAATGGATGGACTCCTATTCCTATCTGGCACCTTCTCTGACATGCAGGCAGATGACTTATCTACATAGAAAGGTACCAATACATTCTGTGAGCCATAACACAGAGCTGGAGGAGAGTCCGAGTTAATGAAAGACATCAGATATAAGTGATAAAAAAAGCCAGATGGCAAAAGGGGGAGTCATATGAAGAGCAAGCCTTCCGGGGCCTACTTCGTACAAGTGGCCGTCCACCAAAGACTCTACTATAACTTTGCAAGTTGTGTGTCAAGAGCCACAGGATTAGGAAGGGTCCCCCTATGCCTCAGCTTGGGACTCAGATCTGCCCTTAATTAAATGCATGACTCTGGGTACATCATTTTCCTTTAAACCTAGTCAGAGAGTAAAAGATTCTTTAATGTCTATTACCCTGATATTGTGAACCCAGCAGAAGGACGGTGGACAGAGTCTGAGCCTGCCAACCTCGGAGTGAAGTGCTGGCAGGCCAATGGGCAGAACATGTTATTTAGCCTCTGAACAACTCCTGCTGGCTGGTATGACACCAGGGAGGGGAAATGAGGCATTCTGCCCACAGAAAGGTCTCTGATAATTGGGCCTCTAGGCCCCAGAGGCAAGAAGGAAGATAAGCCAGCTTAGGAGTTTCTGCTTCCCTGCTGTGCTCCAAGGCTCTGGCTTTCCTCTCCACCCCTCTCCTGATGCCAGAGGTTGCGAAGTGGGGTTTGGGGCTGTTGTTGCTCTCCTTGTTTCCCTACTTCCACCCACTCCCAGCCTCGGGGCTGTCTGAAGACAAGCTGCTCTCATGACCAAGCTCAGGAAGCCAAGGGCAACTGGCCAGGGCTGACTCTGGACATTACATAACCAGGAGCCTGGGGATATTTCCACAACTGAAGCCAGAGCAACAGGTTCCACAGAATTTGTGCATCTAGCCACAAGCCTCAAGGTGAATAAAATGGCCTGGAGTTCAGCCTCTAGGATGGCTGGGGACCACCTGGTGAGTCACCCCTCATTAACCAAGTCAAGTCCAACCTGGGCCCTAAGGCTCGTCTCCTCTGGGGAATTTTCAGGTCTGTGGGTCTGGCCTTCATCTCTTTGATGAGATAGAATGCATTCTCTAAGATCTGCCTGTTGCATGCCAGGTCCCTCCCTCACATCACATCTGAGGGTACAAAGACCAGCCATGAGAAAAGGGCAGGCAGTTCACATGAACCTGCGCATCCCATCTTGAACTTGAGACTACTCCTTGCATGCTTCCTCTTCCCCCAAATGTCTATAGTCCTAAGGTTGAAACTTCTTCCTCATGGGCTAGAGGGCTGGAAACACAGAGAGCTGCATTTGGGAGGTGCTTACAAAGGCAACTGGGAGAGGAGTACCTGAGTTATTCAGGCTGAAGCCCCAGTTAGTTCTCTGTGTAAGGCAAACGTAAGTGTACCCTTCCAGCAGCCACCACACCAGCTCCTGCACAGAGCCTATGGAATGGGCAAGCCCAACCCCACACAGTGCTGCCAACAGATAGCAGCACTGAGACCCAGAAAAGCACAAGGCCAATGTCAGTGAGTATTCAGGACTAAAACAAGACCAGGACATAAGTTATCTGTTTTCTTTTCCTTAAGGTAGACTTCTCTTGGCCTGCCTCAGAACCTTCATGTGCTGGGTTAATGGTCTGGATGGTATGAATGTACTTAGCAAAGGATCCTAACAAGCTGTGATAGAAGACAATCAGAGCTGGGAAACAGGGAAGCTCAGCACAAGTTCAACATGAAGACCAGAGGAGCGGACACCTACCATGTAGCCCTAGTACCTCCATGTGCCTTATGGGCACAGTGCAGCTAGCTCAGCAAGGGCCCTTGGAAACCATGTGGTCCAAGATGAGGACCTTCCAGTTAGAAGGACAGGCCAAAGAAGGGCAGTGACTAGACTGAGGTCTCACAGTCATCAGGTAACAAGGCTACCTGCAGTCTGCTGCCAAGGCTCTTAACAAGGACTTCCTGGTGACTGCACTTGTGTTGATTTGGAGGCAAGTGGCCACCACCTCCTCCTGCTGCCTTAGCAGCTCCCTGGGGATGGCTGGGGATTCAGCACTGAGCAAACAGCACATCCTAGTTCCAACCACTTGGCCTCCCTTGGCCACGATTCTTCTGGCAAAACCCCAAGATCCCTCCTGGAGCCAGTGATGATATCACTCACCTTCATCTGCTTGATGGTGTAGACCAGTGTGCCAAAGGGCCCTTCCTTCACCAGCTTCTTCCCCACCACTTTGGCCCGGATCACTGTAGAGAGAGAAAGAGAAGGAGGTTATGAAGGCCTGAACCAGGAAGAGGCATCTCAGAGCAGCCCAGTGAGCCTCCAAGGTCCATGGTTCCCTTCCTAATCCCTTGTCTCATTAGGGCCTCTTCTTGTGAATTTTCTATGCCCTGGCACACCCACGGGTTGTGATGAATACCAGCTAGTTCCCTTAACACCCCAAGTTGACTTCTGATTGGCCCACGGTACTCCACCCTTGGACAACAAGGAATACAACAGATTCTAGCTCTCCAGTGGCCTGATGAGCAGTTCCTAGCCCAGCCCCACTGTTCATGGCTGTTGTGACTGGGGACAAGCAAGAAACTTTGCATCTGGCCTCCTATCCCTTTCTTATGAAACAGGAATCATGGTGGTTCAGATCCCCTGAACTGAAGCAATTAGGTGAGATGATTCAGGGTGCCATCCCTTTCCTGTCAACAGTTTTCATTAGATCAATGGTACTGAAACCATCCTTACCATCACAAATTGAATAGCTGGGCATGAAAGGGTTTAAGTATAAGAGCTCTCATTTAGTGCACACCTACTGTGCACAACAGTATGGCTCATTAATCTATTCAACCACCTCTCAAGGACAGTGTCAGTATCCACATCAAGCAGATAAGGAAACTGACCACCAGGGCAGGCACTCCTTCTGGGTGAGACTTTCTAATCTACGAAGAGGGATTGACTGAGATGGTTAAGAGATAGATGTCTTTTCTTTCTACTTGACTGTATATAAAGAAGCCCCCCCCCTCAAAAAAAGTAGTCTTCAGGAAATTTTAAAGCTATCTCACTGGGGGACAATGGCCAGGTCTTGAAAAGGGAAATTGGAAACTTCAGAGACAGCTATTGGGGATGGGAGAAGGGGGAACACCAAGTTATAAGAACTAGGGAATGTTCTAGGGCTGCTGCTGAAGGAGAGCACCACACCATCCAGGACAGCCAAAGCTCTCGTGACAGAATCCTGACAGGATGGGGCAGATGGTGGGGGTGGGGGCTGGGGTTCTGGTTTTGACCTGTGAACTGAACTCTTCAGCTCGGTTCCTTCACTCAGACATGGAACAAACACCTCATTCCAACCTTTCTGAATAGCTATTCAAAAAAAAAAAAAAAGCTTGTTGAACAGAATACCCTTTATACCTGGGCACGTGTACACACACACTCACCCAGTTCTGCTGGATCCATTATCCACCCCCTTTGTGGATTTACCATAATGTTTCCAAATTCTTAGAACTAGTCCCCACCCCTCAATCAACATGAAGCCCATTGGCAAAGACAGCACCCCAAGCAGAGGTGGCTCAAGTTACCACAAGCTCCAGGTACCCCAGTGAGGGGGCAAATGGTTATTTCCAAATCTGCCCTAACACTGAGAGCCCAGGCCAACCTCCCCGAGGGCTCTGCCCCCACCTTGTGTCTCGCTTTGTAACACCAAGCAGGCAGCAGGCCTTCTTCCCAGAGGCCCCAGGGACTCCTTTTCCCTATACTAACCCCACAGGCAGGTTGTACCAGCTGAGCTGCTGAATAGAAAGCAGATCTACCAGAAATTTCACTATTGATTCTTGAGGAATTGAGTTGACCTCAGCTTCTGCTGCTTCATTAACAAGGAAGGTAAGCTGGGGACTAAGGCTTTGCCCAGGGGAAAAAGGCCAGAGGGATTCCTTTAAATAGCAGCATCTAGCCTTTCCTGGCTCAAAAAGGGCCCAACTTGATTTAGACGTAGCATGTCTTAAGCAGTCTTGCTCTAAAAAGTTGGGTACTTCTGGAAGCTTCTACACATAGGATCAGCCAAGTCTATTCTTACCCTGAAATGGCCTGTGTTTGCAACCTTTTCATCTGGGGACAGTTTAGATAAAAGCACTCTAAGTTTTTGTGCCCAAGGAGCTATACTGGAGTTCAAGTTCCACCATGATTGTGTGGTCTCACTAGAGCTCTTTCCTCTTAGACCTTTCTTGGCCCAGTGTCACTCATGCAGCTTACAGGTGACACATTTAGAACTAGTGGAAAAACATCATGAAGACCTGGGCTTGAGAGCCTCCCTGCTTTGGGTCAAAACCTAGTACTGGTGCCATGTGACCACAAGGAAGTTACTAAGTCTCTGTGGGCCTTGGTTTTCTAATCTATAAAATGGAAGTAGTAATAACAGTCCTCTGAAAGTTGCTGTGAGGATGAAGTAGGAGTACGAGGGCAGTATGTGACCCCTCCAAGTGTCACATGTCTGGTCTGTCTTTGCTAGCATTGCCATCACTACCAAACTTTATTGCTGCTTGTCTGTCCTGGAGCTGGTCAGCTAAGACCTGGGAGTTCTGACTAGGATGAAAGGCAAAAAAACTCATCAAAACATTCCAGACTTGCAAAATCACAGTAAAAGGACAGGGGCACACAGGAGATGAGCAGTTGAGGGGCCTTCACACCTGGAGCATCTCCATCATTAAGTGTCTCACCTTATCACTACACATAGTCCAATGGTGACCTAGCCAGACCCAACAAACAAGATGGTGTCTGTGGTCCAGAGAGATGAGGAAAGAGATGACCCAGGGTAGAGAGACCATGCCAGTGTTTTCTCTACAAAAAGCAAGGGTCCCTCAAAACTAAAATTTAACATTCTGCCCTTCCAAATAGATTCACAAAGTCCTTCCAAGTCAACCCGTTGGCCAGCCCCAGAATCTACCTATTTGGTTTGTGAATTAGTATATTTATCCTGTGCAATTTGAATGCATGCTAGTTTGTGCTTTTCTGTTTGTCAGTAAGGCTTTCCCGAGGCAGTCACTGGTCCAAGTAGAGGAACACAGGGAACAAGGGAGGAAAAGGGGGGTCAAGACCTCCAATAGCAATAGAAAACAGCTTCCTAACCATGAGCTTGCAAGCTATTTGGGCTCCCTCCACCTCTAAGTGGCAGCTTTGCAGATGAACCAGGCTGGCCACAGGTTTTCTTCATTCCTGTACATACTGGAGACTAGCCCCACTCTATCCAGACAGGGTCCTTCAGCAGCTGAGCCATCCTGGGCGTGGACTTTGCTGGTGTCTGGAACACTGGCTTGAATGGATAGCAAGAACTACAAGTCTCATTTCCTGCTTCCCAAGAGTTCAGTCTAGCAGGGAGACAAGGTGAAGGTCACAGCCAGGGGACAGATCGCCAAAGGGCAGAAACATTGCCAGAGGTTGTAGGGAGGAGGGCCAGCCTGACCCAGCTCTGAGACCCCCCTAGGCCTTCTGTGGTTTTTCTGCTTCTGGATAGAGAATTTGGCTTCTGGGGGCATGGAGAACAAAAGGAACAGGAAGAGATGAATTAAGGAGTAGTTCAACTTACATATTTCTAAGAACTGACGAGGGCTGGAAGTATAGATTGATGGTAGAATACTTGCCCAGAATGCCCTGGGTTCAATCCATAGACCACAAAAAGGAAAAGGGCAGGGTGTGGGTGCTCATGAAATTGGCTCACAGATCCACAAATGTATGTGGGGTCCTCAAGCCACATGTAAAAACCCGTCTCTTTAGATCTCTCCCCTCTCCTCTCTCTCTCTCTCTCTCTCTCTCTCTCTCTCTCTCCGTACAGTCAGTCTTTTAATACTTTTTGGAGGAAGGACTCATAAGAGCTTGTAAAAACAAGGCAGACACAGCTTTTCCTGTCATCTAAAATTGCGTGGTCTCTTCCCCTCCCACCACATCTGCCACCTCTATTCCCTAGCAATGTGGATCCCAGAAGCACAAGTTTTAAACTGAAACAATCCAGGGCAAGCAGCTCACTGGTGTGTCTCTAAGAATCGCACATCTGCTGTTCTTTAGCATGTTCCGAGGGGGACAAGATACCCTGGAGCTGGTCCCTGGAACTGGCCCCTGCCTCTACTACTCCTTTCACCCTACCCTACCAATCTTAACTACACCATCAATCAAATCCAGACCTTCCCCTTACCCCAACCTGATAGAGCTTCTTACTGGCAGATTGGAAGGATGCACATTGGGGCTGCTGGTCTGGCTGATTTGGGGGAGGAAAACATCCCCAAGCTAATACATATCATCCTCATACTCCAGGTCTGCCTATCTTAGCCTCTGGCCAAGAGCTACTCAAATCTGGCTCTTTAACAGGAGGAGCCATATGGGAGCCTGACTCTGCCCTTAAAATGTACAGGCTCTAGGGCAGACAAGACTCTGTGTAAGCCTGTCCAAAGAGGGCAGAGCCAGGATTCCTTGTTCCCCCAGTGCCCATCCACCAGCTCCCTGCATTTCTTTACACTGTTCTTGCCAGTCCAGAGAAGGAAAGGAACTAGAGCATACTGACAACAGCAGCCACCACTGCCAGACCACACTCCATGTGCCAAGCACTGTGTTCTCACGGGGAGTGACTGTGAGGTGGAAATGACTGTGCCAGTTGTCGGTATACCTAGAAAGCAGTTTTGAATCCCCGTAGGGGGAAGAAATGGAAGGTTCCCCAGGAAGGGAGACTATTGTTAAATCTTTACACAAGATTTATGTAGATTGCAAAATAGTTCTTAACTATACCCCACCCCCATTGTCAACCCTGATGGCACCAGAGAAGAGGACTGGTACTTAAGAGGGGGACCCTGTCTATGGCTACCCTCTCTCTCTCTGATTAGTAACAAGAATTTACAAATAATACAAACAGATAACAATACCTCATTTGTTTAACTTACCGTGCTTTTAGCATATCTCATAGAAGGAAAAAAAAAAGCGTACAGACCACAAGGGGCTCACCACACTGGGAGCCTGAGGTTAATTATGCTGATTGGGTACACTGGGACAAAGCGTATGTCAAAGGCACTTTGTAACCTTGGAGCTGAACAGGTGATTCCCAAGGCATGGCTGCTGGAGAGCACTTGGCAATTTGTAGCATTTGTTCACACTCACCATAGGAAACCAGAAGAGGGGTGGGAAAACCCTTCCCTGATGATATTCAGCATCCTCCTGCCTCATCCTTTCCAAGGTCCTCTGGGGACCCTTGATGTGTCCATGTTTGAAGACAGGGCAGTAG